TTTCTGCGGATCAATCCGGAATGACAGCTCCGTATTTACGGAAACCCCTTCTATTATCAGCTTCAGCTGTGAATATTGATAATCCAAACGTGCTTGATGCTTGGATAACCAATTTGATCCAAATATCAAATTGCAATTGAGTTGTGGAATAACCAAACAGTTCACATCCATATCTATTCCTTCTAATTGAACTGGAATCAAGATTTGCGACTTTATCTTCTGCGTTTTACCGCCTATTGCTACAGAGATCACTCCTCGTATGACCGATAAAATTGGAAATTTCCCGAGATTGCTTAACTCTGAATAGAATTTCTCCGAGATTGCGCATATATCTGAGCCGCTGTCGATCAATACTTCTACCAACGTACCAAAAATATGTATCGATATGGTCGGCGAAACCTTTTCATCATCCTGCACTATATCCTCCGGGTCGCTTAAAAGATCGATGTCCGGATCCCCCATGCAAGCCAGTGAACGCACGGTATGTCCCTCATTATTTCCCCTAGCGGTCGACCGCTTATCTCTCGATATCTCTCGCTCGGAATTTGTTCGATTATTTTCAGATCGATTACTATAACCCTGCGCATTATCCATGTTCCTATTCGAACCCCCCACAGTAGACAATTCGTCAATACGTCTCAGATATTCCTCTACCGTATCAGGCGACGTAAAATTATTAATAATCATGCCCCGCTGGACTTCCACATCAAAATGTTTTACCAACATTCCAATTACATTTTGCATCGGAATTTTATTATCAAGAAACTTTGCTTGCGCCACCAGATTCAAGAAATAATCTGCTCGACTGCCATACGAGTGCGTACCGTAGACCAACGTCATATACAACTCTCTTTGTTTTTCAATGCTCCAGAATCTATTTTTAAATGCTAGACGAAATGAAACATAGTCGGTAAAACAATCCTCCTTAACGCTAGCCCAATCGGCCGCCGAACCTCTTAAGCAACCAACAGCTAAACCCAACTGCGCATGCTCAGGAACACCTGCATCGCTAAATATTTTTTCAATTTTCTTTAAAAATAGCATTGGGTGCATTTGCCCATAGTTTGAAAATGTGACATTACCACCCCCTAACTCTTTCCAGTTTATTATATAGGATCTATCTTTAATTACAGTCAAACAATCATCTATTCCTTTAGAAGTACAAACAGTCTCCGGCACTGTCTCTATTCCAGACATCAGGCCCTCATATCGTGTGTCGGACGTTGCCACCTTCTCAGCTAGTTGCCCTACCGTACTTTTTAACTCTGTCACTGATATTGCCAAATTTCTAACTAAAGACTCAAGGTCCTCCTGCACCTCCTTTGTACTCTCTGCCCTGCCTCTCCGCGACTTTCTGCTAGACATTTCTACAGCTTACCTAAACGACAAATCGTTACAATACTACAGTAAACTAAAACAAGGAAAGTTTTTTTTTTGTTACAATGACTGTTTCAACACAGTAAATAATCGTTCATATCCCCTCTGCTCCACCAGCTATCTCTTAACGCCTCACTGCTTCTCTACCAGCGCCTCGGTGCTCGTACAGAACCCCCCAGCAGCATACACACCCTCAGCTTTCCAAAAATAAAATGACTTCTCACCCAGATCTGCTTACTCCTCTTACAACCGACAACACCGCCTGGCTCGTGCCGCTTGAACACAGCAACGCCTCAACGCCTGTTTCTGCGTCACGTCGCGCCGCCAAAATCAACCGTCTTCACCTACGCGTACCGTTTTCGTCGCGTCTCGTTCCTTCTCTATCTAACACCTTGCAAGCGTATCGCGCTACGCCGTTCTACTGCCACGAGTTGGGCGCCAAATGAAGTGGATCCGAGCTTACACAATATCACTCAGGGTTTTTCGTGGGTTTCAGTAATAACGACGGCGATATGGCTAACAAACTTTAATGGTAGTAAGGCACAAAATAATTCACTAACTTAAAAAAAACATAGAACCCGGTAATACTTAAATCCGGAAGATGGTCACGTCACCTGTTGCCTCTCTCGGCGGCGAAGGGCAACTACCCCCTCGCTCGATCTATCACAATTTCGTCCACTGTTGCCGAGTTGCCGCGCACCACACTGAACCACTACATAAGGTGCTCCACTTTATGGTAAAACTGAAGTCAGCCTGTATCATTTTTCTCAAAAATGAAGCTGAAGTATACCACAGCCGACGTCAACTACGAGCCGTGAACAAAGAAATCTGGCAACGTAGGTGGTAGTGTTACTCTCGCCGCTCAAAACGCTGAGAAAACATAACCTTTTCAATTTGTGATTTGGGAATCGCAGAGGCTGTAATTAAGAGATAAGCTTGTTTTCTAAGCTTCAAAGTGTGTGTATGTGTTCAAAGTGATCGGTGACTATAATATATGAGAAATAGACTCCAGTTGTAGTGCTTCTGTGCTTTAAAAATAAACTAAGAAGTGTGACTGTGGCTGTTCGCGCCTCAGGATGCTAAGGATTTCAACTATTGAAAACGTGCAAATTCAGGTTGTATTTTTCTTTTTTCATTTATCAAGTATTTGACGCAGACAATATGCCTCGTTGTTGCTGTGTTCCTTTATGCAATGCAAACTATAATTCTGCTTTGAAAACAGAAAGCTATCTTCCAAAAACAGAAGCACCCAAAAGAACTGACCCAATGCAAAGAAAACAAAAATTAATTGAGAAACATGAAAAAGCTATCCAGAATTTCAATGATATGGATAAGATCAAAGACTTTCAAGAATTACGTTCTTCATTTTCAAAAATTAAAGCCTCACAGAAATGGAATAATAAATTATCTGATGGAAAGCTATATTTTTATAAACCAATTGGATTTTGAAAATGATATCTTAACTTTGAAAACACAGATTATAGTTGATGGTCAGATGGAAGTTCAGGTTGTTCATAAAAGATGTAAGCTTTCTTTTAGTGACTTGAAGTGGGTTTTGCCATATGATCTCAAAATTACCAGATGGTCCCAATTAGAAAACCTGCTAAATAGGTATTTTTTCTATTTTTCTGAGAACCAACAGAAAAACTCTGTTGAAGTTTGCATCATGAATGCATTGGAACAACTTGACACAGCGATTTCCATAATTAATAATGACTCAGTTATGTTTCCATATACAAAAAATCTAGAGATTATTGCTGATCAGCTGAGACAAATTCAAAACAGGAAAAACATATATGCATCACTTTCAATAATAATGGCTTTTACGTTTTATAACCACTCATCATCAACATATAATTTAATTAAAAGATTTTTTATTTTGCCAAGTAAGCGATATTTACAACCTATCTCCTAAAGTATGGATATATCTCCAAAAAATGATAGGAATAATGAACACTACCTTTCGAATATAGCAATTAAATTAGCTCCAAGAGAAAAAATTGTAATTTTGATGATCGATGAAATTTATATAACATCTAGGCTGGACTATCGCTCACAAAACATTGTTGGATATGCCTCAAATAAAAATGACATGGCTAAAACTGTTTTAGCCTTCATGCTATCCAACGACTTCATAAGGTTAGACTACGCATGTATACGTGTCATTGTTTGTAACCGCTTCAGGGGTGCAAGGGGACAGGTGAAGACTGTTTTGTAAACAAACGTTCGACGATTGACATTCATTTTCCATAGGCGTATCAATATTTTGTTTAAGTAGGTTACCAATTCATTCATACAGAATCTCATTGCACTTCAATGTACCCAAAATATCCGTGTTTCGGATTTTCACGATTTCAAGCGAGAAAAATTTGCAAGTTGTACAATATGTAATCATTATCCCGATATTGACTTGAACGAGTTCACAACTAAGAACGAGTTGTTTAAATAGACAATGTTCATGAACAATATCCAAAGTTTAGAGCCAGCATGCCATAAAATAAAATGTTCCCTTGCAAGGAATGCAATGTTTCCACCGAAACTAAAAAGTTGGCAGTGTGCAGTCACTCTAAATTATTGGGTACATTCAGTTATATTTGGTAGCATCTCAAGCTAGTCCCAAAAGAACATATTCTGATGCAGTGTATTTAAGAGGATTTGGGTTTCTGTAGGTTTATTATAATTTTTATAAAACAGTAACAGTGGATACAGGTAATGGGATAATTAAACAACAAATGTTTGAAATATTTTAATTCAGTTATTATAATAATAATAAAACGTCTTTAATAGAAATATGATATACACAATACAATAAATAATTTACCCCTATGTAGCTACTTTATCCAAACATATTAAATCTATATTAAACAGTATAAGAGGCGCGTACAAAATTTCAAAAGAATAAAAAGACAAAATTTACTCTTGAACGCAGTCACATTATAACCTCACATATACCCCAAGAAAAAGATGAGGCAGCATGCCATATGTAAGCTCATACTTATAGCTCTTGGTTGCTCAGTAGTAGGATATGAGAGATCAGGGTAGAGTTGATGTTGTAATTGTAAAGAACGATAGCAGCATGAGGACAAATAAAACAAGGTTGTAAAATTCAAACAATATTAGAAAAAAAACCCAAACAATAAGCAAAAATTGAGGTAAGAATCACATGAAAAGAATGATTTATCTTTTGATCTACTCTGGCAAAGAGTGGACAAATCTGAGTTTAAAACAGGGATGGTCCCATGCGCTGGTGGTGAAATGATGTGATGACTGTGCCCCATGTACAAGTGCAATGTTGGTGTAATGATCATAGCACTCAAAAAGGCGATGTTGGTTCCCCTCACCAAAAAGTAATGTTGGTGCCCCTCAAAGTGGAAGGTTTTATGATGATGATGTCCCATAGAAAAAAGGTATCGGTGATGGTGCCCCCCCCCCAAAAAAAAGAATGGGAGAAAAGTTGGCTTCAAGTCCCATTCATCTCACAAGAAACACAAATCATTGACTTCTTTAATTTATTTTGATCATCTCGAATGATCTGAATCACGTAAACTCAGCTGAGGCGTTCTAACAGGTTGAAAGGTCAGAGATGAAAATAACAAAATGTAGAGAAAAATCATATCAAAGTTTTACTGATTTCTGAATAGTATGCTTTTTGTGAGGTCACTTCTGTATCGTCTACCAAATTCTGATGCTAAATTTGACTCGTGGTGTAACCTTAGCCTTATGTATTTAGCCAAAATCATCTTTGTCAGCTGCAGTGAATGATTGTTTTCGAAGCTATCATCTAGAATATGGTCACCAAATACTTCAAATATTGATGTATTTAACTTCCTTAGTGTATAGCTTACTAAGTATTTTTCGATGTTTCCAAGTTTATTGCTAAATATGCTGGAAATGGCTTTCAAGGACCTTACAGACCTCTCCCCTTCTTCACAGACTTTTATAACATAATTAGAAGCTCGTGTTAAGTTGCCATATTGCTTCCTTTTTTGCAACAAAGAACGTGTTTCACTGGATTCCATTAGCAGCAGGCATTCATGACAAGATACACACTTTTTCAAATTTTTCACCACAAAGCCAGATATGTATGCGACAATATCACAGACATACGGAGTTAGCTGCCACAGATGTAATGAACAACTACCAAATATTAAAACTTCTGTAGTATTCTCCATATAATCATCATTCTCTGAAAGAATGTTGCCACAATTAGTTTTAGTCAAAGTGTTGATATATGTAGTGCCTAGAATACTAGTGTTGTCCAGTGAAACAACATTTCCATACTTGGAGCCCTTAATGTCACAATGCAAAAGTAATCTCTTGAAAATACTTTCAAATTGTCGAGCAGTTGGATTATTATTACATCCTCCCTTACTACGCACTGCGCTAAAAAATAGCTCAATATGGTCTTGGGACAGCTTGTATGTCAATATGTAATTCAAGTATTTGAATTCAATGACATATTCTAGATAAAATTGCTGTAAACTAGCCATACAAATCAAAAATCCCAGGAAACCCGTTTTCCTTCTGCATTGAAGTACTGGGGTTGTTTCTGTCTTAAGACCTTCAAAGTATGTCTTGCACTGTTCCAAATATACAAATATCTGCTGAGCATTATTGACATCTAAGCCTTGTTTGAATTCGTATTTTGAGTATCTCGAATTACTATTAAAAATGTCAAAAATATTATTTATCATTTCAGCAAAGTTGGCAGTTGCTGAAGCACCTTCAAATTCTTTCAAACCTAAATCTGTTTCCAGAAACCTCAGTGCATCAGCAACACTTTTACTGAATGTTTGTGCTGCTAGGCATACCTTCATTTTTTCATTTTCCCATTTCACATGTCTTTCTTTAATTTTGGTAGCAGCTCTTAAGCCTTCATTGTTTTGAATGTTTACCAACTTTTCAAAGTATTCCCAAGAAACTAACTCATTTTGATCTGTCTTGAAATTTTTATAAGTTGCTAAGCAGTTCCTGATTAATTTTAGCATGTGACATGGATCGAGATAAACGTACACCCTGTGCGAATCAACTGGATGTGGGAACCAGGTTTTTAAGTTTCCAATTTTCAGATCAGCTCCCAAGTGTTTTATCATCGAAATATTTTGAGAGGCCCCATCAAATGTTACTGAACAAATGATAACACCTGTATCGTGAATAAAAGTAAGAAGATTTGATACTAAGTTTGCCTGTTCCTCTCCACTTAGACCACTGATGAAGAAGTATCCTACAGGTAGCTTCCATTTGCCATTTATAGCCACTAGCATCATAACCAATGCTTCTTTAACCTCAGGAAGTTTATCTCCATCCATATCAAAACCCAAGTCAATGTATCCTGTCCACTTTTGGCCATTCCATTCTATTCGCCGCCTAATTGCCATTGAATCCATGACCAGATTGCACAAAACTTTACGGCCATGCTTCTGTTCCGTTTGTACTTTACACAGTAAGTTGTTTTTTGCCTCCATGCTGAAGCCAGGTGCACCATTTATCCGTTGGTACCATTTTATTAGAGTATGGGGGTGTGGTAGACTTTTATTGAATTGCTCTCTCACAAAATCGTAAGCTTTTGAGCTATAAAAATGCAAAGTTAATGCAAAAGCTCTGAGAGAAGCATTATATTTTTGTTTTGACTTCCCCTTGATAAATCGTTTCAGAATTTCCTTTGTGCCATCATCCACTGATGCCTGAAAACAAATATATATTCATGGAATAATCATGTTACAAAGTAGAATATTATTGAAACTTTGCATAAAACCAAAAAAAAAAACATAAATCTTTTTCAGTATTGTAAACATGTTAAACTAAAATGGAAACAATAAGTTCTAGGCTAATTAAAGTGTGTAGCAGCATGCAACTGATACCTACATTCAAAACTAGTCCTGCATTTGGCGTCAAACCACATGTCTCCCTCAAATACTCCATTAATGATTGCTGGGAATATACTTTTTTAGACTTCAGTCTGCGATTTTGCTGGTGAAGATTTTTAATTTTCTTTTTCAGAGACGCTATTGTTTTTTCTGCGCTACCTACAGTTTTGCCAGAAATGTTCCATACATGCTTATGCATTTTGGATCTGAAATAATAGATATTACTTTGTGTGCTCATCATTATCAATTTTGAAAACTTGAACTCACCTTTGCTGCATTATTTGCCTATGCCTAGTCATTTTCCCCGAGATGCTTGGTAGTTCTCTAGGTTCATCATCAGAGCTTGCAGTAACTCTTGCTGACAATAAGCTGGCCGACAGAGTAATTGAACTATCATTTCTTGCCAAAACAGTGTCAGAGTTGTTACTATAAACAAAAATATATGTCAAAATGAATGTATACAGTTGCAGTAAACTAATCCATTCGACTGATGAATAGTATTATTTAGTCACTAGGGACAGTAGAAAGCAAACAACATGTTATTGACCAAGAATTGGATTTTGTTGCCAAAATAATCAATTCAATTAAGTACAACAGTATAGCTGGAATTCGTTAAGAATAAAATAAAGCTTTAACTTCTCATGAATAGTGTTGTTTGGTCAACAAAGCAGTAAAATGGAAACAAAACTATTAACAATACAATTTTGTCATTCATTCAATGACCTGGGAACTATCAAAGTAGCTGGAATTCAACATATAAGGTCTTTAATGTGCATCAGAACTTGAATGAATAACAGCAATACCTTATATTGCATTCAGATGCTGTCACTGTAGTTGAAGATATTGACAAGACATCACAGTTGTCTGATTGAGGACTTGTCAGTCTCTTCAGCCCTCCATCTCTAACTGCAGCACTCATAGATTCATTCCTGCAAGAAAAAAACAAATTACTGTTAGTGAACCAAGCACTACAAATGAGTGTTAGCTAAAAACTGAAGAAACGAAGATTCAGTTCCTGCCATCTGAAAATGATTTTCCAAAACATAGGTACTCTAATGTATAAACAATTCATAACCTTTTCCGCTTAGGAGTAGAATGTCCAATTTTGGCATCGGTACTTGTGAAGGTGTGCTCATATTCAATGATGATCTCTGCAGGTTCAGACATCCTATTGCTACTTGTACTGATATCGACATCCGGGTTCTGATCCTCACAATGATCTGAGCCAACCAAATCCATTTCAGTAACTGGCAGCACGACGAACGAGTTGGAAAACTAGAAATACATAACCATGCGTTAAGCCATTATCATTATTCAAAATATTCCAAGTGAAATTATTCTTATCAAGCTATTAAGAAACCTAGGACTAAGGACAACCCAACGACTTCATATGATGTCGTTGGGACGACCATGCATTTTGAGGTTATAAATGCGTTAATTACTTACACACGAAAACTCACGTTGGATTACTTCCAGTATGGTCTGCCACAAACTACACACACTTGTCTTTAATTATTGTCTATTTCTACCAATTTTTCACTCACGACTCACTGTATATTAGCTGCTTTAACACAACGGAACAAAGAGTTCACAGTCAACAAATAAACATGGGGCTGATAGAGTCAGACGCTTCATAGTCCAGTCAGTTTAAGCAAAAAAAATCGATGCGATACTGAAACGAGATACAGTCAGAGAAATACGCATTAATTATGTATGGACAGCTATTACATACGGGAATATTATGATTGAGAGTGATCAAATTCCATTATAAAGTGTTTTGCATCATACAGAGGCAATCCCAAACTAAAATAGCCTCAAATCAGGTATCTAAAATTACCTAACTATCAATAGCAGATATGTATACATACAGTGAGGGCTTGTTTGTTTATTTTTCGCGGCTTCAAACAATTCCCCTAGAACGCGTAGTCTAACCTTATGAAGTCGTTGATGCTATCTTCAGCATTTGGAAACAACAGAAATTATCAAATTACTACCAGTTTCAAATCTAACAGGTGATGAAATGACACCTTTGGTTGAACATGTGATAAATTTAGTTCAAAAATGTGGATTTGAAGTTATTTGTGTTGTTACTGATAATCACCGAATTAATAGAGCAATGTTCAGGAAATTAGCAAAGGATTCATCAGAAAATTATTCTATTCCAAATCCACATAATCCTGATAAGAACATATATTTAACTTATGATGTTGTGCATATTTTCAAGAGTATCAGAAATAATTGGATTAATTTAAAAAACCTAGACAAAACTTTTGTATATCCTAATTTTGACAATAATGATATTATTCAGTATGCTAAATTTGAAAACATTCGTGCTGTATATGAATTGGAAAAAGAAGCTGTAGTTAAGAAAGCATATAAATTAAATTATAAAACATTACATCCAAATTCATTTGAAAGGCAAAATGTAAATTTTGTAGATAATTTATTCCATCACTCAACAATAGCTGCTATGAAAGAATTAAAGTTTAATGATGCTGCACACTTTTTGGAAATAATCAGGAATTGGTGGGATATTGTCAGTAATACAAGAGTAATAAAAGGAGAATTGAAGCGAAACGAATTTTGTAAGCCTATTACCAATAAATATGATTATAGAGTACAATTTTTAAAAAAATTCCTGATATGGTTAGAAAATATCAAAGCACGCTGACTCTACTTAATATAATTGAATATTCATTTAATCAATTTGACATTGAGTATGTATTGCCTGGAAAATTCACCACTGATAATTTAGAAAAACGATCTGGCAATTATAGACTTTTATGTGGCTGCAATTACAATGTGTCATATGATGATATTTTAAATGCTGAAAAGAAAATACGGCTGAAGCATATTTTCAATGAAAAGAAATCGTCATTTTCTTTATCAGAAATTAAAACAAGGTTCCAGAACTGCTTAGAAACTCAAGAAAATTTTGATTTCTTGGATACCAAACAAAATCCTGAAGTTTTGGATATATTCAATGAAGTATTTGAGACAAATTACTTAGCCAATTGTGACATAGAGGATAGTACTAAGACTTATATATCTGGATATGCTTCACACGCTATCTCTAAAAACCTAAACTGCGAGATATGCAAATCGCTAATAGTTAAAGAAAAAGGTTCATTAACAACAAATGTTTATTTTGATCATTTGCAAAGAGGAGGACTGTCAATTCCAACCACTTATGTACCAATCATATTCTACCATATGTATGCCATTTTTGAATCTATTATTAATGTAGATAGATTGGAAATTTTCTTCTTGAAAAGCAATAATCAAAATTTTATTTTGTGTCAGTTAACCTTGCTCAGCATTCAGTCTGACTTTATATACAGTGAATTTTTTTAACTTGCATCTGTGGCCGCAATTATGCAGATATTTTATCTAAGCTTTTGTCTATTTTTTCAAACATAATTTTGAATGATTATGTAAAATTGTTAAATAACAGTAAAACTGAAAGTAAATGTATTAAAAACAAACAGGTAACTCCACATTTCCAAGCTGGGCCTGTTGGAACACAGTGTGCTGACACCAAAAAACGTAAACTAAATACTTTTAATTAGGTTAACTGCATTAGCGACTCATATATATCACGATTATTTCGTATTTTTAAATTTTTTAGAGCCATTTCATATTCAGACGATTTGTATCGAATCGAACTGTCCCTTTTTCCAAAATTAAATTTAGTTCTTGAACGTTACACGGAGACGGAGCACACAGCCGCTGGCGGCCGACGTTCTCAGGTTCTCAGGTAGCACTACCACGCCGTCCGAGCGCGTTGTTGCCTTTCTTTCATCACGGCTCGTAGTTGACGTCGGCTGTGGTTCAATATATTGAACTTTTCCTTAAGAACTAACCAATCGGATCACTAGCGTTGGTCAGCTGATCGCTACAGCTGGAATTAGAAGATGGCTACGAGCCATCGATACTGTACAAAAGTCGATAGTCGATATTTATATCGTGATGTTTGATCGATTTTATATCGCTGTATGGGCAGATGGTTCGGTGATACTTGTATGAAAAATTATTTGCGCTTGCTTACGCATGACAGTTTAGAGCTGAACATCGGGGCGGATTGATAAAAAAAATCATGTATGTTAAAAATTATAATAATTAAAGTCAGTGGTCATGTTTCCTTCATAAATTAGATCAAAAAACAGCATGAAAAAAATACCAAGATAGAGGATTTTGAAATTATATTCTAGAGAACGAAAAAAAAAAATGGAAATGATCTTAAAATTTTGTGCTTGTAGTACTGACTTCATAGCTGATAGATGCAAACACTTTCATGTCTGAGACTGTACCAGTGGTGATGTTGGCAAATTATAGCCCCTACAGAAGAAAAAAGAGAATTTAAATCTATACCATGCCCCCCATGACATGTTTTTCCAAAACCTCACAGAACACTGTGAAGGTACTTTGTCATTAACTACAAACCAGGTGTACACCTGACGAATGCTGTGTATTCGCAGCCCACCAAATATGTAATCTATTTTGACGTTTATTGAGGTAAACAGATTGAGTAGCACGTAACTTTTTTTGTGACATCTGTACTGTTGGTAATAACAAACCTGGTAAAGGGCCAAATTAAG